TCCAGAGATGGAGATTCCACAACCTCCCTGGGCAATTTATTCCAGTGTTTGACCACCCTGACAGTTAGGAACTTTTTCCTAAAGTCCAACCTAAACCTCCCTTGCTGCAGTTTAAGCCCATTGCTTCTTGTTATATCCTCAGAGGCCAAGATGAACAAGTTTTCTCCCTCCTCCTTATCACACCCTTTTAAATACCTGAAAACTGCTATAATGTCCCCCCTCAATCTTCTCTTTTCTAAACTAAATAAACCCAGTTCTTTCAGCCTTCCTTCAGAGGTCATGATCTCTAAACCTTTAATCATTCTCATTGCTCTTCTCTGGACCCTCTCCAATTTCTCCACATCTTTCTTGAAATGCAGTGCCCAGAACTGGACACAATGCTCCAACTAAGGCCTAACCAGCACAGAATAGAGCAGAAGAATGACTTCTCGTGTCTTGCTCACAACACACCTGTTAATGTATGCCAGATTCATTTTTGCTTTTTTTGCAACAGCATCACACTGCTGACTCATATTCAGTTTGTGGTCCACTATAACCCTTAGATCCCTTTCTGCTGTACTCCTTTCTAGACAGTCACTTCCCATTCTGTATGTGTGAAACTGATTGCTCCTTCTTACGTGGAGCACTTCGCACTTGTCTTTATTAAACTTCATCCTGTTTACCTCAGACCATTTCTCCAATTTATTCAGATCATTTTGAATTATGACCCTATCCTCCAGACTAGTCGCAACCCCTCTCAGCTTGGTATCATCTGTAAACTTAATAAACGTACTTTCTATGCCAATATCTAAATCGTTGATGAAGATATTGAACAGAGCCGGTCCCAAAACAGACCCCTGCAGAGCCCCACTTGTTTTACCTTTCCAGCAGGATTGTGAACCATTAATAACTACTCTCTGAGTACAGTTATTCAGCCAGTTATGCACACAGCTTATAGTAGCCCCATCTAAGTTGTATTTGCCTAGTTTATTGATAAGAATATCATGCGAGACCATATCAAGCACCTTACTAAAGTCTAGGTATACCACATCCACCGCTTCTCATGCTTTCATCATGTAAAACTTTCCACATTATAAGACAGATTTATTTGGGGTTTTGATCCCTTTGAGAGGTTGGCTTCCTGGGTGTTGAGCCTTTATGGCTGAGTCCTCCCAGAGCAAAACTGGTTCAAAGTCTATGTTGCTCTGGAGGAGGGATGGTAACCCCAACTCTGTGGTTTGGCTGGGGGGGGGGAGGGAGACCAGGGGATCTGGCCCAGCAATGCAGGATAGTGGGGAGCCCTAGAAAGTATGGTGAGCATCACACTAGGGGGGATAATTTCAAGAGGATTTCTGTGATTCAACATGTCACAAACAGGCCCATTGTCCCACAGAGAGTTGGTGCTTTCAGATCTCACTGTTAGTAATTAACGTAGAAACAATTTCAGGGCAAAACCAATCTATTGTTCAAAGTTGCACCATGGACTGCGGAGTATTGAGGCTCTGAAATGAAGAACCAGCGACACAGATGGATTGTACTCAAACAAAAGCCGAAGACAGCAATCTGGAAAACAGACATCTAGCGGAAGAGAAATATTCGTTAATTAGTAATGCTGAAATTTGCCAGGGTTACAACATTTGAATCCGCCTCTGCAAAAATGAGCCAGTGCCAGCAGCTACCCGCGGCTATCAGGCAGAT